CAAGATTTTACTATTTTGTGAAATTGATGTAACAAGGAATGCAAGTCTGGATGGGACCGGGGAATACATTCAAAGTACACATTTAACTTAGTTCAGAAATGGAGTGTTTATTATTTTAAAGTGTTTTGTTTTGAGACAAGGTTGTGCTTTGTAACCCAGGCTGGACTCAAACTCACCATCCTCCTTCCTTAAATCTTGAGTGCTGGAATGATGGTATGTGGCTAAAATAACAAACTTCTAAAATTAGTCTTTTTGACTATGATATGTAAATTGGATGCTTTGGACGATGGCTGTTTTAGTGTGCTTTATTTTTGACTGAGAAAGTGATTTCCTTTGGCATCTACAGTTGAATCAGGTTGATTTGGTAATTACAGCCTCTCAGAAAGTCTGGAGGGTGGAAGCTTAAATGAGATACAGAAGGTATCAATCTGTAACATCCTGTTGGCCAAATGCTTTACTCTGAAAATGTGTGACTAAGGGGAAACCATCATGTTTGTTGTCTAAAATATTTACATTTTATCGAAACCTGAATGTCCTTCCTCCAACAGTGCACACTTGAGTCAGGAGACTTGGGAAGAAAAATAGTTGTGCAAATAGTCACCTAATAGACTTCCTCTAAGTTTGCTGTTCTACAAGTCGGCAGCCCACAGCAGGTGTTTCCTGTTGGTAAATAACCTCCACAGATTTCTGTTTAAAATTGAGCTATTAATAAAAGTGGTGTCCTTGTCATTGATGCTTCTTGGGTGTTCTTAGGGAAACAAGTTCCTGACATTCTAGACAATGCAGTGAGCAATATCATAAGTCATCTGTTACACCATTTCATTAATAATATCTCACTCTCAGGATAATTCCACTTTAAAACAGAATTACCATACTTAGGTAGTGTAGCTCTCCCAGTAGGAATCAAGAGGGAAGAAAGATACCCCAGCCTCATTTTGCTAGGCCTCACAGGTCATATGTTGGTGACAGGAAGGAATGTGGGGAAGAGGTCTTGGTTTAACATGCTGAAGAAGCCTGATTATGCAAAGAGTGTCAGAGTAGCCCTTGGGAGAATGCTTCCTCTTTTTTCGTTTTCTTTTTCTGGTCATTAACTGGTGGTATCCCTGCTGAGTTCCTGAAGTCCCGCTTTCAAGTTCATTGAATGAGATCTGTCTGTCTGTCTGTCTTCTGTCGGTCTTTCTCTCCCTCCCTCGCTCGCTCCCTCCTTCCCTCCCTTCTCCTTCTCTCTTTTTCTTTCTTTTGGTTTTTCAAGACAAGAGTTTCTCTGTAGCTTTGGAGCCTGTCCTGGAACTAGCTCTTGTAGATCAGGATGGCCCCGAACTCACAGTGATCCACTTACTGCTACCTTGCGAGTGCTAGGATTAAAGGCATGTACCACCATCAGGGTTTTTTATTTGTTATTTTTTTTTTTTAAATGAGAATTTCTAACCCAGCTTCTTACAGTGATTCTGGCAGGTTAGAGATCTGGATAGTCACTAGAGCAGACACACACAATCCCCACCTGCCTAGTGTTTAGTTAGTGTTAGTGTTTTAGGTGCCCTCTACTTGAAAATAGAGATGTGTTTACTTCCTCCCCCCACTTTGTTTTAATGTAGTGAAGTGCTAGTCATCACAGTTTACAGAATGATGCAACCATTTGGATTTGAAGGGAGTGCTGTTAAAATATACAGACTTGCGTTTGGAAAGGCATTTATAGTTGCAGGTGTTTTTACTCTGTATCCATTGAAGAAACACATATGCCTACTAAGAATTTTGGACTAAGCTGTTTAGAACTAATGTATAGTAACACTTCGTAGCTGCTGTATGCTCAGCAAGAACTTATTTCATCTTTTGAGAAACCCAGAACACTTAGAAAATACTTCCTTTCAAACTACGGGAGGGGGAGGGAGCTGAGCAGACCTCTACCTTTTCTTTTGACATGGGACAGAGAAGGTCAGTGGTATTGTCTCCCTCCCCTTGTCATCTAATTGCTTTTGGCTGTCGTACCATTTGCCAGGGTTCACAGACAGACTGAACATTAAGGTGATTTGTCTTTGTGGCAGGATAAGTAATGAAAAGAGCTGGGGGTGAACCAAAGGAAGTTCACTACCTTTGTTTATTCTGGGGACAGTGGACTCACTATGATGCTTAGGTTAGTCTTAGTCTTTTGGTCTCAAAGGATTCTTTCTGCTGTAACATCCTGAGAAGGCCTTTAGGCATGTGCTGCTGTGCCCAGTTAACCCTCTTCCATTCCCATTATATATTTTTTTAAAATTAGTTAACTTCTTCTTTTTTTTTTTTTCCTTGAGAATGTCTCACTATGTAGCCCCGACTTCCTGATATAAAAACCAGGCTGCCTGGAACTCACAGGAATCTGCCTGCCTCTGACTCTCAAGTGCTGGAATTAAAAGTGTGAGGCTCCATGCTGGCTGAATAAATTAGCTTTTTATAGATAAAGTCACTTGTTTCCACAAGACATTATCTTGGTCCCACCCACATAAGGGTAACATACCAGTTTCTTATTTTCTTCTTACAAAATACAATCTCATTAACAGGGTCAGCTGTGGATATAGTACTGTTTTAAATGTTTTATGTGAGTGTATTAGAGTTTGTGGTAGGTACTTATCTTAAAATGGGGATTTTTTTCCTTTCTCTTTTCTTTTGCAGCTGAGGAAACAGGTGCAGAAACTAGCTTAGCAAGGTTACTCAGGCAAGATTCTGATAGATTCTCAGCTGTCTCTTGGGAGCTACACTGTTCTTAAAGTGAAAGGGACTGCTTTTTCAAACCAGACCCATTATGCTCTTGTGAGAATGGATTTGGAAAAATCTGTCACAAACTTTTTCCTGAATAATTGTTTTATTAGCTAGGTATGATGGCTCAAACTTATAATATTTGAAAGCTGAGGGTGGAGGATCACAATTTGGAGTCACACTGGAGCTACAGAGTCAGATCCTGTCTCAGAAGTGTGTCCCCCCCCCCCCACACACACAGAGATAGGGTTTCTCTGTAGCTTTGGAGTCTGACCTGGAACTAGCTCTTGTAGACCAGGCTGGCCTCAAACTCAGAGATCCGCCTGCCTCTGCCTCCCGAGTCTGGGATTAAAGGTGTGCACCCCACCTGTCTCGGGTTTTTTGTTGTTTTGTTTTGTTTTTTAGAGACAGGCTTCAGAATTGTTTTGAAGGATAGATTTTTCTGATTAGATACAGATGTTTCAGTTTCATCAGCTACATTTAGTCTGAGAAGTCTTAAAGGGCCAGTAACAGATAATTCCACTTTCGGAGGTTTCTACGAAGATATAAGTGGAATGCGCGATGGTGTCCCAAAAACCTACTGGCACCTGTTGTCAGTTGTCCCATGAAAAGCATATTCATATGCTGCTGGCTGGTTTTCTCTAGTTTTTAATTTTTTTTTTTAAAAATTAGGGCTTTTCTCTAATGTGAGAACAGGCTCTGTCATCAGTGTGGCTGACAGCTGACTAGACCGCAACATAAATTTATGCTGAAATTTGCACAAAAGTAGCAGGGAAACAAAGCATATCTTAATGTTCACATTCAGTTTGTCTCCTCCAGGGAGGCAGACTAATAGACCAGGGTCAAGAGCTGTAGTTGGACTTCTGGAAGCCTCCCCAGGCACCCCTCTCCCTTTTTGGTTTGCTACTTTTTCTCTCCCAAAATAAACTGTTAACAACCCGAAGAACTTGACTGTTCGCTGGCTGCTGTGTTGTACCCTATCGCGCGTCGCAGGAACTCCTTTGAAATAAGAACGTCACACAACTTAACCCAAATCCTCCCCATTACTTCCTTGATGATTGATGACATGCATCACTGACTTGGTTGCTTCCCGTACTTTTAAGTTTGATAGATATGCGGTGTAAACTTAGGGAAGGGAAAACTGATAGGTGCTCCAAGTTTTGAATCCTTACACGAAAGTCACAGCCCTCAAGAGATAAAATCCGTAACCTGCTTAATTATAGGAATTAAGACTTAAAGGGATTATACCCAAAATCTGTCCTACATTTCTGAGGTCTGAGGTCGCCGCTGCCTTGCACTGTGGGTGGATCTTTAAAGGATGTTTAAATCTGATGAAAATGATTTGGTGTTAGTCTCACCTCCCGCTCTGAGGGATAGGGTGGGGTCTCGGAATATTTTAGAAGTATCAAGGCGTTCCAATAAAACAAACAGGATGGGGTATAGCACAGTCTGAGCCAGGCATAGGAAGTCCCAGTCCCACTCCCACCCAAGTTAAAAACCTTTCCTGGATATGTGCAGGTACCTCCTTTGCCTAACGGCCCAGGCCCTTAACTTTCTCACCCCTTCTACCCCAGACCTGGAGGGGCTTTCTCCCTACCAACCTAAGATCAACAAACATTCCACCCAGGGGTAACCCGAAAAAGGGCGGGTCAGGGGCCGCGTCTGTGACCTCCGTGGAGCTCCCGTACTGCGCTCCCATTGGTTGGAAGTTCTCTCCCCAAAAGCTTGCGCGACCTAGGCTCGCCACGCCAGCCCGACCTTAAGCGGGTCCGCCCTGGGGGCGTGGTCCCGGCGGCGGGGCGGAGCCTCGTGGCCCCGGCGGCCTATAGAGCGGGAGGGAGTCCCCGACCGCGCCCCTCGAGGCC